TAAGACAATTTACAATCATCCTACTTAAAATGTGTTAACATTTTTAAGACCTCTGAAAGATCGATTGAAAACATTTTAAGGCTAATTAAAGCCTTTTAATATTTAAGACAATTTACAATCATCCTACTTAAAATGTGTTAACATTTTTAAGACGTCTGAAAGATCGATTGAAAACATTTTAAGGCTAATTAAAGCCTTATATTTGGACTGACAAATTCAATGCTTTTTAAGACTTTTTAAAGATCCGCGGGAACTCTGAATGACWTCATCAGCCTTTTTCACAATCATTTTATGGATTATAAGCATAAATGATTTGGGAGCCTTTGCTTTAACAAGCAAAAAATAATAAAAACAGACGGGCACAGTGGGGTTTTTAGACAACAAAGCTGCTGAACTGAAACAAATGGGGTCTGACCTGAGAGGAGTTTAGGTGCAGGGCCTGGTGTGGCGTGGAGTCCTGTGTTTGCGTGCTTGTGCAGGAGTGAGGTAGCAGTGCTGCGTTGCTGCTGCCGGCAGCTTGCGGGTAAGGCACGTCTCCGTTGGGTCCTGTGGCTGTGGGCCCTGGCTGATTATTATTACTGTTACTACTGTTGCCCACAGAGTCTGAGTGTTCGTGAGGACCTGAGCCCACGGGCCCGTTGGCCAGCGGCTGAGGCGGGCAAAGGTGCCGGTAGGGTCCCAAGTGGGGCCGTGTGAGGTGGAGGCTGGGGGAGGGGAGGGAGTTGGAGAAGGGACCGTTGGGGAAAGAGGGGCGCCCCTGACTTCCTGAGGCGTTTTGCTTCATCTGTAGGGAGAAAAACAAGGAATAAACCAACAGGTTCAAAGTGAAAATGAATGTAAACATGGTCTGATTTTGGTTTTGGGTGCGTGTTCTTTTTTTCTGTTCAGCTGGGGCCTCATGTATAAACGGAGCGTACGCATAAATAAAAGCTGCGTCCGTCAGATTCCATGCACACGTCGGGGTGTATCAAAACCAACGTTGTGTGAAAGTGAAATATAAACACACTTTAGAAGGTGAAAAATATGCAGACAGCTTCGCAAAGTTTTTCAGTTGACAGTTTTAACCCACAAAGTCATGAGTCTGACCTGAATCCACAGAAACATGACTCTGTGTTCTGGGTGTAAAGAGCATCTGAATACGGTGTTAGATGTTTTTTTAGTTTGAGCTTTTACTGTTTAAACCCGAACGATGAAACTGAACCTCATTTAACCTCAGACAAGAAATCAGATCAGCCTAAAAATGATCCAAACAACCTTAGTCCACTGTGAACTGTAAAGGTTTTAGATTTTTGTCATGTAGTCATAAACACACGTCAGAGACCGCACGCCTGTGAGGAACACACACAGCTGAGAAGAAAATGTGTGAATTTTCTAACAAACGTTTAATTCTCACTGAAATACAAAAAAATCTTTGTCAGCTCAACAGAACATTCAGAACACCTGTGATGATTCCTCAGGTCCACAAGATGCAGACAAGATTTGTTATTAATAGCTGCGCATACAATGTCATCTGTTGGGCTGCAGGATGACATCACCACAAGAAGAATTAGAAGGCAGTAGGTTTTTTGGTATCACACCGAAAAAACTACAGTCAGGTATTTTCATGTAGTTCCTGAGCTGAGCCATGCAGCTGGATGAGACGACTTCATGAATCTAAAATACAAATTCACAACCTCACGACAGAAACTTGAGGCACTGCGACTCGTTTCTTCACGTCAGCTATTGAATAAATAAAATTCTAGGTTCTACCGAGTAGGGACGTCCTGATCAGATACTCGGTATCGGTGGCAGATATGTCCATTTATTGAAAATCGGGTAGAATCTGATTTAGTCATGTGATCGGGCCAATCCAGTTTTCAGCATCATCATGCTTAAAACTGACTAACGTCAATTTTAAGCATGATGATGCTGAAAACTGGATCGGCAGAAGTCAAGACGCACACAATTATGGAACCATGTCCACAGTGTGGGAACACTTTTCAATAGAAAACAATGGCGCTGAAACTGCATCTTGCAAAATCTACAAACTGGATGTTTCTTGTGGTGGGAACAGCAGGGCTCACTTTAATACTACCAACCTTGTCACTTAGAAAGAAATAAAGAAATAAAGCTATAGGACCAGTTTTGGAAAGACTAATCATTAAAAAGATCTGGATCGGGATATCCCTACTACCAAACTAATAAGTTTGTGTTTAGGAGTCTCAGGTGCGCTCAGTTCCACGTTCGCTGGGATTTCTAAAGGAAAGGTGTGCAGAAACATGCGTGCACATGGTTTTATACAATGGAAATTTTTGTGCGGTGCACTTCTCTGAATTTGTCCGTAYGCCAACTTTTAGTGCGAAAGCTGCACACTCCTTTATACACGAGGGCCCTGGTTCAAAGTGAAAATTGTAGTGGTAACGTGAATATCTTCTCAAGAGACAGTCCTGTTAACTCCACCTTTTTCATCCTGCCTGCAACATCTCAAAGTTTGAATAATGACTCCTGTTAATTCATCCGATACTTCACCCTTAGGCCTTAGAACAAAGGCTAGACTTCCTGTCGCCAGTTAATTTGTTTATCACCTCTTTCAGAATAAGATTGGAATAAACATTGTTTGACATCAAAGGGCCCCTGATGTTAAACAAAGCGAGACAGACACATCAAAAGACTCCCATCAGATTTATCTGTGGGTCAGCAACGCCACCCTGTGGACATTTTATCTACTAACTCTGAAAATATTTTATTTTTTTTCACCCATATTTTCCATTTATAACTATAAAAAGCATCTGTGAAGTGTCAAAATAATACCTTGGTACTCTGATTTAATTACTGTAATAATCACGACATTGTTTAAGTAACTTGATCTGGTTTGATTAACTATTACTCTGTTCTTCTGTTACATGTCCGAATGGTGTCATGTGACCACCGCAGAAAGTCTTAACCAATGAGAAGTTTCATTGTGAACAGGTAGTATTTCATTGTTCTGTCATGTAGGGAGTTCTGAAGAAGCGTTTGAGGAGAAAGCAGTAGTTTTTTTTTTAGCTCCAGCTTCCCCCATCTCGGGGCGAGGCCATTCTTTTCCACTTTTTATTTTTATTTTAGTTTAATCTTAAGGAGCTTTCAGGAAGGAGATTTACATTGAAACGATGAGGCTGATTTAATTCAAGTCGGACGACCTCAGTGCGCCCGCAAGGAAAGCATCAGCAGCAGTGCGCTGGACAACATCTCCAGTGAATGCAAACCGGCAAAMCAGATGACCAGGGAACTTCTGCACAGTTAAGACTCGGTTGGACTTCACGTGCCACCCAATTAGCATAGAAGTATCCATTCTGGCGACTACAACTTTGCCGGTAGGAAACATTTTGCTCAATTAATCTGATGATGTGTTTAAAGATTTAAATCAGATCAGAGTATAATCAATGTTCATTCTTCTTCCCCTGAGCTGTAGGCTTAGAAATAGCAAGTAGTGTCCCACTGAAATATGTGTAGAAAGTCATTCACATGGTAATCATGCCAGATTAATCACATCACTTCTTGATCAAGTTTACGGAACTGATTAAAAGTGTGTTTTTGTCTGAGAAATGACTTGTAATGTATATATTTCCCTCTGAACCTCATTTTAAATAATACACGGATGAATTTCCAAACGGAGTTGTCCTCGCCTGTATTTCCTTGTCTCACGCCGTCATTAAACTGAAAGAATAAACGCCTTCATATTTAGAGATTGAATATTAATAGAAAAGTTTTTCTGAAGTTTTACAAAAAAAAAAAAATCGATAATCTTTAATGCACCATCTTTAGTGGTGCCTCGAGGAACAGATAATTTGCGTGTTTAAATAATTCCCAAATTATCCATTTTAGAATTCTAGTGTTTAATACCCCCTACAAAATGAATGTAAAGATGTTCTGATTTTGGTCTGGGTGTGGTTTTTGTGTTCACCTGGTGCTGCTGCATGATGGCGAGCTGAGCCTCCAGCTGCTCCAACATCTGCAGCTGTGGGGGCTTCAGGTTGGCTCGGTTATTCCGCAGCTGTTCCAGCACCTGAAGGCAGACGGGAGGAGTGAGAGACCAGACAACACCAGAGCAAAATGCCAACAGATTAGTGATCCTTTTACTTCTTTTAACTTGATCTAATTTTGTTATAGACACTACAAAACAAATTTATTTGATTTTTGAATATTAACTTTTTGTAGTAATGCGCATATTATGTGAAATATTTAACCCCAGAAATGTTCGTAACGGGGTGTTATATTAYACACAGGAGTAAATTTTGTCAGATTTTTTGCCAGGCCCTGTCATACATTYATGTTTTAGACAACTTATGCCGACTTGTGAAAATTTAGTTTTCACCACACTGGTTGTATATTTGATCTGATTGTTGGCATTGAAGTATGGAAGCATCTATCTTCAGCATAGACATCTTCAGTGTTATGTTGTCTAAAATACAATTAGCTTGAACAGGCCTTAACTGAAGTATTGCGATGCTGTGGACAACAATTTCTCTCAAGGCTCTGTCACACTAAACAACTTAAGGCAACTTATGAAACATTTTTCGTCTAAATTGCTAATTTAGACAAAATGTTTTCAATTCCATCTTCAATGTAGATGTCTTTAAAATGTTCATAGGCTGGCATAGGTTGTCAGGTGTGACAGGGCCTTCACTGTAGAAGAAGTCCTGCATAGCTAAGCATTTAAACATATACAGTAGTTTTTTTCACACTGAAGTCAGAGGAGGAAAAACTTTTTGTTTCTTGTTAACCGTAAGGATGGAAGGAAGTTGCATGTTCACATGCTCAACAGAACCAGACGAACTTCTCCTCAAACCTGCACAAATAGCTAGTTCAACAACCGGCTCCTGTTGTTAGACCAGATCGTTTTTTTAGCGACACGCAGAAGCATGCGCTGCTCTTCAGCAGACACAAACACGCCCACAAGTGCATCCCCAAAATAATCTGCTGAAAAATCCCGAAGTCTGTATGAAATTACGTGTTGCCTTACACACATGGGTTGGATTTATATTAGGGCTGCAACTAACGATTATTTTAATAATCGATTAATCTGTCGATTATTTTTTCGATTAATCGGCCAAATCATTAAAACGCTTAATTCCATGAA